AAAAAAAAAATCAAATAATAAAGTTGTGTCTAAGAATCTATATGTATTAATGATGCTCATCAGGGAAGCACAAAGGTTTCAGACACAACTGAAAAACTTTACATCCTCCTACTCTCCCTAATCCTCCGAGGGATCCTCCAGGAATGTTGATGCTATTTTCTGGAGAATTGATTGCTGAGTAGGGGGGGGTTCACACGTGCTGATCTGTAATCTTGAACTTAACCTACTCAGAAGCAGGTTAGGGCTACAGCATGTGCCATGGCGATTTACCCTGATAAGTCGTGAACTGCCTTTGTAGTACAGAAAACCCAGGGTTAACCTTAAAGTTACCTGGATGAGCCAAAATCCTGCTTCGTAGCACAGGCCTCTCTGCGTTGCTCTGCTGTCACAAATGAGGCTGAACTGATCATGTTGCACTTGAAGCTGAAAATTCTGTAGCAACAGTTACTTTTACAATAAGCATACTGACCAAACCTGATAGGCTATTTCATTTTGCTTCATGGAGGCATTACCCCTCTGTGCAATAAGACTCTGAAAACACCTCACTACACATAAACTGTATTGTTAAGAAATTGTGCTTAAAATATTGAAAGTAAAAATAATTGTTCTGCAGAAAAATGTTCTCTAGCACTGCTAAACGGATGTATATTACTACTGCATATGTTTAAGGTTGAGCTCATTTTAAATACTGTTTAATGTTCAGTGTCGTAATCTAGAAATCACTCGTTTGTATTGGCTGTCCTGTGAGAACCACATATCTATGAAGAAAAAACTGTTCATGAGCTTAGAAATACAGGCATACGTCTTGGTATATTAAATATTCATTTAGAAAAAAATCAGCTGAATTAAAAGGCTTGTGCAGAGTGTGACATGGTTAACTGTCAATATCCACCGAGGGGATTAAAATATGAATGAAAAATGAAGGTGGGCTGCTGGCAAAACAGGTAGTTAAGCTTATGACATTCAGTCATTCTCATAGATGTTAGTCTGAAAGTACTGCTGAGCCTGCACCTGCTCCACTTACCAGTTTTATGGACATGGTCAGAGCTGCCTTCATCTCCATCATCGTCACAGCATTCCTTGTTAATGCCTTAAGGGAGTTATTAACAGCTTTTTCAAACTCCATCTTATCTACATCACACATGTTAGCCATGCTTAGCAAGACCAAACTCTTCTGTTGCGAGGTTAAATCACTGAGGGTTATTTACTTGCTAATGCCAGCTGTGTTTTCATAGGGAGGGCAGGTCGTAACTGAGCTGCTGGCGTCTGAGTGGCTGAGCTTTATGACAGCTCTGTCGGAAAAAGATTGCCTTACATTGGTATGTTTTAATTTATGCTTATTCTTAGATTTGATAAGGCAAGCACTGCTGCCCTTCCTTCCACTGGCTTAAAACGTTGCTTTTTGACAAAGCATATATTTAGAGCTTGATCAGGTGACCCTGAACCGTTGCTTAGTTATGCTGCAATAGGCTTAGGCTGCTGGGGGCTTCCCATGATGCACTGAGCGTTTCTTCTCTCACCTTTTTTTTTTCACTCTTTAACGCTACTTTGCATTTAAACCTTAGTTGTTATTCTTTGGCTCTCTTCCACAGTGTGTCTTTTGTCCAACAAGGCTTGCCTGATATCTGGGGTTTTCTCTCCATTATTGTAGGGTCTTTACCTTACAGTGTAAAGCTCCTTGGGGGTCACTGTTGTTGAGATTTGGCACTTGGTAAATAAAACTGAATTGAATTGAAAGGAAAACTGTGACTGCACAACATGCAAACAGACCTAAGTCTACAGTACAGGATACAGTTTTAAATATAATGCTGTATTGTACAGTTAACTGCTGTTTCTTTTCGGTGTACATGGTTGTTGTTGTTGTGAAGGGGCTGATTAAAGCCTAGCAAAGTAAGTTTGTTGCATAAAACTAATCCAACATTTAGTAAAATGTATTCACTGAAAACAAAGAAAAACAAACTGCAGGACTTTAAATTGTATGCAGAGCAGTTTTTGCTGTTTTCTGAGTACTTTTATACTTGTTAGCTATCTAGTTGCCTGGAAGATCCCCACTTTTAAACCATTTGCTCTCATTAATTGTATTACTAGTCATCTTTACATCAGGTCAAATTCATGAAGGTACTTTAGTACCTTATCTTAAGGTACTGTCCTCTACATAGATAGTAGGTAGGCTGAAGGTCCTTGTCTAAAAGGCAACCAGCTTCTGACAGCAGTATTTGATATCCTGTTTTGAGAACGAAAGAGGTTTATTGTTGTATTCTTGCACTGTTGCATAAGTCTTTGTCCTTTATTGCAGCTTTATGTGCTGCAACACATTTTTTAAATAATATTAAAAAAAACAATCATTATCTGGTCATTTTGCATATAATTATTTTATATTATAAATATGATGCGTTTGTATTGAATATTTAATCTAGAGCTTAAGTAGTAACTTTAAGCACTGCATAAAGTTTACTATAAAATGTATTTTGTGCTCTGTGTATGCAGTGGTGGATTAATAGTAGTATTAAGTTGCATCTACTGGGAAAAATGTCTGTTTCAGTGAAGTAGCTAAGAGCAGTTTTAAGTATAATAATGCATGAACTTCAATAATTTGTTTGGACGTTTTACAAAATTGTTGACTTACTGTATGTTTGGTTACTTTGGCTGTGACAGTGAATATCCAGGAGGTGTTTTCCCTCAGTCAACAGTAGTTGCTAAAACTCCAGATGTTTTCATTGTTAATAAGCAGCAAACAGGTGTTTGTTTTGGAGGATGACTGTTAATTGAACCACAAGCTTATGAAGTACTAGACTTGCATCTTGATTATCTATCAATGCAGAGCGCTTGTGTTTAGTCAACAGTCAAATTGTGCAGATTTTTATAGCATAGAGTTTAATTATGTGTGTTATGGGGTTTTTTTCTCTCCACAGCCACATCTATGTGATCCCAGTCTTCACCTGGACCCTGACTCTTGCTATCTTACTGGCCCACACAGTTATTCAGCCAATCACTTCAGTGCTCACCCTCCTGAAAGGAATCCTCCTCATTGTCACGGTAACAGTGATTCTCTTCATTTTGCTATTTTGATACATTTTGGCATAATTTTCAAGCATTTGCAATAATGACACAGGGCTTTACTGGGAATAGCTTTTTATCATTAGAAAAAGGAGAATTCATGTAAAGGAAAAAACATATTTGGGAATGTCGCTAATGATAAAGGCGTCTGATGGCTGTGTCATGTCCTGAGTATCCATCTGTTCGATATTTATGTGACGGTGTTCACTTATCTAAAATGGATTCTCTCTTCATGAAAGCGCTGATTTGATGTAGAAGGTGTTGTTTCAACAGTAAGATCATTTTGGCAGCTGCAGCTTGTGCTGTTGTATTGCATTATGCAGGGAGGTGTTTCTGTTATACAGCCTGCTTTTATTGATTTGAATGGGATGGACAAAATAAAGGAAACATAAATGATAAATGTGAGACATGAAATATCAAACAGAATTTGATGTGAGGTTGGAGTTGTTTGATGTGTTTTCTAGTTGAATGATGCCTGTGAAGTAGTTCTGGTTTGTTAGTGTAAATACTGCAGCTTGTTGGAATTTTGATGAGGTGAAATGACACACTCATCTCAGACTCTGCATAAAGTTCACCTGTTTCCATAATGTGTTATTATGGGTCATACTTTTTGTACAGGTATGCTTTCCCTCACCAGTGATTTTCCATGACTTTCCAAGAACTGATATTCAGCTTATTATCCTATAAATGTTTATAATCGGTGTTAAAAGTATGACTAGATTCATATTGGTTATTCATATAAAATTTTATCTGTCTCATGATAGTTTCATCATAGCCTCTCCGCATACAGCTGAGAATTTCAACTCAGGACTTTAAGTTGTTGCTTGCAGCTCTCTAGTCTTTGAACATGAGTGTAAATTATTGTTCTCTCTGTGTTCTGCCTGAGACAGACTGGTGACCTGTCCAGCATGTACCCCACCTCTTGCCCTGTGACAGCTTGGATAGGCTTCAGCCTTCCCGTTAGTCTGGAATTTGATAAGTGAAAGAAATTGTCAAAAGGAAAAAAAAACTAAATTAGGGATTTTTTTTGCTTGTTGCTTGGACTTTAGAGCTCGATGGAAATGTACGTTTTCAGAGTTGCTGCTACATCTCCCACCTTTTTGTTTTGCCAGTCAGTGTGAGGAGGACGATGTGCCTGGGAAAAAATTAAATGGGCTGAATGAAATTAGCAGAACTGCAAGTCAGTAATTCATAGGACGTAAGTCTGAATGAGGTTCTCCTCTTGGGGAAGTGGGGAAGAAGTCCCCAAGTGTGTCTCGCTCTCTATCTTACCAACAGTAGTGGCTCTGATAACATGGAAGACAGCATGACCACACAATGGAAAAATCGTTGAACTCTAATTTGGGTTAAAAAAATTTACATGGGAAAGCTGTTTCAGGGTTATTGTGCCTGCACAATGGTGGAGTTTTAAAAGAGTAGTTATGAGTCCTGTTATCTTGTTCTACTACTTCTCTGTACTGCTTCTTTATTACCACACCACTGCGGCAAACGCTGAAAGCATAGATGATGTACATGTTTCTGTGCCTTTGTTGTGTAAAGATTTGTGTAAAAATAAATGTGAGATGTTGGATATTAATCATTTCAGTTTAATTTTTCTAGCACCAGTTTAGCTCGTTTGCTTTATATTGTAATGTAAAGACACTGTAATATATGCAAGCCCTTGGGTGTGGTGGGAACCAAGAACAGCCATTTAACAGGACAAGTGCACAGGCATTATGAAGGTCAAGGAGGGGCAGCCATAGAAATACAGTGAGTGATATGGCTGATCAGTACATCACGGATATACTGGCTGATAAAGGAAAAAAGATACCTTATGTATCAGTACAACCCAGAAGTAATCCAGATTAGAGGAAATATATAATAAATTATAACTTCAATATCAAATTCTTGTTTTTAAAGTCATTAAAGTGTACAATCACTCTGCAGCTGGGAAAAAGAACAGTTCAAGGAAGTCATTAAAAGCTTCAAATCACTGTTACACTCATGGCCATGATGGGTTTATGTAAACTTCTGACCACTACAATCCTTCCAGTTGTTAAATACAATTCCTCCCGTGGATTTTTCTGTGTTCATTAGCGAAGGGAAAAAACATTTTGATTTATTGTGGTTGACTTTTGATAGCTGAAAATCTCACACACTGTCCATCACTTGAGCTTACTTCATTTGTGCACAACTTTGTGAATAAGAACTTCACCAGGCAAAATTCATACAGAAATTACCTTGGATAAACAACAGGTTTTCAGACTTTTTTATCCAGCCTGCAGTATACATTATGCAACATGATCCTCAAGGGAAATTACAGAAAAAACATTTCTTCACAAATGAGTCTTATATTACACCATGTAGCTTACAGTTTTTGAAAAGCAGAAAGAGTCACTGAAGATGATTTAAATATTGGGTAGAAAAGGAATTAATCACAGTACTTTAAGCTTATTTGCTATTACATGAAATAGCACGTAGGAAAGGCAAGAGATGAATTACAATATATCAAGAAAACTACTTGTATCAGAAAATGAATACTTTGAATTTATAAAGTCCGCTGGCATAATAATGAAGACTTTCTACAACACATGTCAAAGGGGATTCAAAAGATAATTCATATCTAAAGTGTTATTCTAGAAAAACTAGGAAAGCAATGAAAAGATTTATACTGTACAGCTATACTTTGTACCGGCACTAAAGGAGACAAAAACAAGACAAAGAAGAGAAGATCAAGAGAGATAAAGGAGAGATCAAACATGTATTGCAGCTTCCAAACTTCTGAGAAAATAAAACTCTCAAAATCAGTTTATTCTTTTATGTTCGTAATCTCATCTCAGTTTGAAAAAAAGAAGAAAGAAACTCATTTCTGACTTGCACAAACTCTTTGCTTGTGTACCTTGCTTTTATCACTTTTTTCAATTACTTTGTCAGTTTTAAAGTGGGATGAACTGTACACTCTCTGCATACAAACTTCTGAGTGATGTAGCCATACTAATTGTCATGACAACTCCTCCGTAAGTTTGTTTGTTTTACATTCTTATATTATGAAATATAATTTGATGCAAGTCTCACTCTGTACACGCAAAGTGTTGAAGGGTGTAGTAATGACTGCCATTACAACTCTTCAGTAAGGGTTTATACATTTTTTATATGAAGTATAATTTGTGATTTAAATGGAAAGCCGTCTGTTAAATAGTGAAATTTCTCACGGCCTGCCTAAGCCAGTGTTTCCCACCCACTGTGCTGCAGCACATAGGTGTGCCGGGGAAGATTATCTGGTTCCTGGCGTGAGTAATGGGCAGAACAATTACATTCTATTTCCACTAGAGGGCAGTACAACTACCTGCTCTAATTAAATGGGTTGTCAACTTCCAGTAAAACAGAAGAAGACGAAGACGAAATTACATAATAGTCATACTGTGAGGCGATGCAGTGCGTAATAGGAATAGATAAATATTTGAAAAGAAAAAGTAGTCAATGTGACATGGGTCTCACATTGACCCAGATCTGCTAGAGCCTTAATCTGACTCAGATTAAGGCTCTAGCATGAATAGTGGTCAGAAGAAAGCAAAAAAATTATCAATATGCTTTTTGTGACATTTTTGTCTGGCGGTATGCCGTGTGATTTTTCTAATGTGAAATATGTGGCATGGCTCCAAAAGGTTGGGAAACACTGGTCTAAGCTATGGTTGCCACTGATAGGCAATAATATAAAGATTAGATCATGCAGTGTACCAAGTGGGGGCAAATCCCAGTACTGCACACAAAGGACAGTCTTGTGGCTTTGCAAACTGGGGTCAGATGCCACCGGAGTTCAGGAAGCCCTCCCAAGGTTACAGAGCAGGAGCTAAGCTAAACTAAAGGCTAGCAGGTGGAAGTGTAAGCTGTTTCTGCTGTCGCTTCTGATGGGGAAATGTCAACTCACTAGTAGACAACCTTGATGATTTGGTGGCACTGTTGAGAAATATTGAGATGCTACCAGGAATGTTGTCTGCTGTGCTTTGTGGAAAAATACCTGACTCCTGTGTAGACTTATTGAGCTTCACTATTATGTGATCAGAAGACGAGCAACAAGAGCAAAGGTGTTCTTGTTGAAGCATTCAGAATTGGTGCAGTAGGAGTTGCCTCCATCTCAGTACCGCGAAAACCAAGAAGATAGGATAGCCTAGATCTTCTGACTATCTGCCAGTCTCCGTATATAGCCAGGACACTGAGGTGGTGAACTCATAAATATCTGGAGGTCCTACTGGATGACAAGCTGGACTGGTCCCTAACCACAGGCTGACTACACTGGAAGATTTTGTCCCCACTGCAGTAAGCGTTTTTAACACCCTCTGATGGGGAGATCCACCTGGATATTCATTCATCGCATAACGAGGCTTGTTTGCATTTCTAGCTGATGTGCTTTCTTTAGTCTCAAGTTACAGACCCTTCAACTTTGCCTTTGTTTGGTTTTGGCACGTAGCTCTACCTCCACCTCTCATCACTAGTGAAGGTTCTCTTGGATGTACAGTGGGGCAAAAAAGTATTTAGTCAGCCACCGATTGTGCAAGTTCCCCCACTTAAAATGATGACAGAGGTCAGTAATTTGCACCAGAGGTACACTTCAACTGTGAGAGACAGAATGTGAAAAAAAAATCCATGAATTCACATGGTAGGATTTGTAAAGAATTTATTCGTAAATTAGGGTGGAAAATAAGTATTTGGTCACCTCAAACAAGGAAAATCTCTGGCTCTCACAGACCTGTAACGTCTTCTGTAAGAAGCTTTTCTGTCCCCCACTTGTTACCTGTATGAATGGCACCTGTTTGAACTCATCATCTGTATAAAAGACACCTGTCCACAGCCTCAAACAGTCAGACTCCAAACTCCGCCATGGCCAAGACCAAAGAGCTTTCGAAGGACACCAGGAAAAGTATTGTAGACCTGCACCAGACTGGGAAGAGTGAATCTACAATAGGCAAGCAGCTTGGTGTGAAAAAATCAACTGTGGGAGC